CCTCTTCCACAATTCGTTGATAGTGTTCTCTTATGTTTCATTATATATTACTTATAACCAACAGAAAGTGAAGGTTTTCATCTATCAAATGACGTATTGTATAACATTGTGTTCTGAACAGATAACCATCAATGTCACTCAGAGTAGCAACATCGTTCCTGTGGGAAAGTTAACAAGTAGCTTGAATGAATTTGTAACGGCTCTTGTGGCATAGTTAGAAAGCCAGGAAGATTTTGAGAGGTAAGTGAATTTGTCTACTTTTTGCATGTTATTAGTCTATATTCTTTGGTGCAATATTTAATTAAATAAAAATGGTTAAGTGCTTTACTATAATTTCTATAAAAAATCAGGCCTAACTCTCCTCGACAATCGAGGGAAGAAAAAATAAGATTGGGTGAGTACTTTATTTCTTGTTTTTCTTATTTATTTTTATAAAAGTAACTAAAATTAAAAATACGGATCTTTTTAAGTTATTGACTAGAACAGGTAAAAATAAGTAATAATAATATAATTAAAATGGTTCATGAAGCACGTACACAAGCAGCTTGTGGGTAATGTAATTCAATAGTGTAACATGAGATATGTGTTCCCCCGAGTGATTTACAACTTACGATTACGCGGATAGTAGTTAGACATGGTTGAAAGGGCAATTAAACAATAAAAGTTAATTATAAATAGGTGAATAATGTTATGAACTTAGAGCTACTTAGGATGAACGAATATAGTTTGATGTTACAATTTGAAGTCATTCTAGAAAGAAAAAAAAGGATAATTTAGGCTTATTTTGATATTATTTTTTATGGTGGTTATAAGGCAGGTCGAATTGACCAATCCGGCTTTGAGATAGGGTAGAGAAAATAACAGATAAACTATAAGGATTTAGTGAAAAAAAACGTTTGAAATGCATTTAGGAGGTTTTGGGGATTACACAAAGGAAATTTGCGTTAAGATCTACAATGTACATGTAGGTAGTAGATACAAGTATACATAGTTGTAGGAAAGAACTCAGTTTACACTATACTCCAGTAATGGTTCATTTGAAATTAGTGTGCTGTTTTCCTCACAGTGTACAGGTAATTTCTGTCAGTATTGTTTGCTTGATTGACTAGAACACTTATGGTATTTTCTTACTGTAGTTAGAGAGACAATTAAATTGCATTTAGGTCTTACTATTATATTTTAGTTAATTACGTATTATTTG